CATCCCCAGCACCTCATAAAATCCTCCAGGTGGCACACACCCACACCCATAATTCCGACTTGGGATGTGGGGCAAGACTACAAAACTTCAAGGTCAGCCATACAGCAAGTTAAAGGCCAGTCTGGAGTTAGCATTGTGCCTGAGACACATGGTCATTTAACTAATGCACATATTGTAGTTACTATTTACAAAGCACTGCACAAAGTGTTTTACAACTTTTTTAGCCATGAGCAAAACCCCATTTTATCCACGAGCAATTAAATACCTTGTTCCAGTATCACTCAGCTAATAAGGGGGTAAGAGGTAGAATTCAGACAATTCTTCTACACTAAATTATGCTGTCTCAGAAGAAGCTATTGTTAAAGATTCTATTTGGGGTATAAAGTTATGGGACGAAAAAGTGCCCTGTAGCCTGGGCAAAAGTTTGTTGTTTTCTATGCCAGTTTTGTCTCTGTGCATTCTAGAGTAGTATAGCATTTCTGGACTTGGGTAGGGTGCTTTCAAGTGTAATCCGATACCAGCTAATCCTAAAACCCGGGGTTCTCCGACCAACTGCACCTTTGTCTCTTCGTGGGCAAGAGCAAGAGCGGATATTTGTAACCAGTGTGAAGGAGAGGCATGCGGGTATTCCTGGGTGCGTGGTACCACATGCACGGAGCCGCCTGAAGGCCCTCTTCACACCGGCCTTCCGGGCCAGCAGCCCGCACCTCCCGCGCCCCCTCCCGCCCGGCACCATCATAGCTTGATGGCGACGCGCCCGGGCCTAGAAGGAAAAGTTTCCAAACCTCGCTTCTCGGCGCTGATTGGCCGAGCCCGACGCGTCCTGGGCGCGGCAGCCAATGAGAGGCGCGGGCCGCGAGGCGCGGACCCGGCTGGGATTGCGGTCAAGCCCTGTCGGCCCGCGCCGTGCCGGAATCATCGTCGCCGCCTGGGCGGGGTAAGTGGAGCCAGGTTGCGGGCCGAGGGCCCCCAAGCCCGCAGCACCCGGCGGACGAGTCCCCCCAGGCCTGACCCCAGCTTTCAGCCTTCCACCTGTGAGCTCCACCTCTCCCCCTGGCCAACTCTGTTCCTCTTCTGCTGGCCGCTTCCCTTCCTCAAGCCCGGCGCTTTTCCTGCCCCTTCATCCCACAGTCGTCGGGTCCCCAACTGCTGCCGCATGGGTACCGGCCTGTGTCCAACCTCCCCCACGGCGCCTCCTGGGTCTCGGCTGCCGGACGTTTCAAATTTCTCTAGACATCACTTTGGATCAGATACACTTTATCCGATAAAGGGTGAGAGTGCTTCCCCCACACCTTGAATGTTGGCTCAGCTCACCTACCCCTTTGAGGTCGTGGGTAACCCAGAATCACCTTGGCTTTGGAGCGACTTTGTCTTCCCCAAGTCATCTTGGTTTTGTGCCAGGCTGTGCATCCTCCTGCTTTTTAACCTTCCTCGACTTACCTGATAAGAAGAAGCCTTTTGCCGCGGGTGGAGGTTTGTAATTTTCTCTGCCACCTGTGTCTGTGTATTGTGTGTTAGGATAACCTCTTAGGATTGGGACGGGTGCTTTTGAAGTACAATCTGACACAACCTACTCTCCAAACCTGAGGTTATCTAACCATTCACCGCTCCTCCCCAACACACTGGTATTCAACTAGTTTTGAGATTTAAGTAATTCCTTTTACAACGTTATGTATGGAGTTAAATACCTGTGGCCAACCAACCCTCTTGAAGTCGCAGGGGTAACTTTTATATTTTACCTCGACTTGGTTAATAGTTTTCTAACTTGATTTATCCTGTGTGGATATTATTTTTCCTTCCAAAGTGTGTTCTACCTTAGAACTTGTGAACTTGATGAGATTAAACCCCCTTTTCTTCAGAGGGAATTTTCTAGTGTGAGCCTCTACAGCCTGCACTGGGGTTGCACCAGTGTTGTGATGGAAATGCTTGATATATATATAGCCCAACTCTCAGTGGGTGTTAAAGAAATGATTGAAAAGACCTGGAGGGGGGCCCAGACCACAGTGGGAAGATTGCCTGGCACCTTGACTAGTAAAATGAAATGACCTCTGAACAATAGTTACTCTGTTCTTATTCTTATTCAAATATAAAGTCCGTCCCCCACCCCCACCCCCTAGTAATGAAGAATGAACCCAGGCCTTGTGCATTCTAGGCAGGGCTCTATTCCTGAACTACATCCTTAGCCCACCAAGTGTAAACCTTTAAAATTTCAAATGCAACCATATTTTCAACTCAAAAACACAGTTCTCACCTTAACAGAATAATAGTTCATTCTTGAACCCAATGTGAATGACAGTGTCCCAAGAGCACAGATTCCAGTTTCCTCAAACACCATGTTTCAATGTTGGTTGCGTGAGATCTTACTGGCTACAGAACAAAAAGTAGTAAGTTAAGGTGTTTACCAAATACAGTGTTAGGGGTTACAGATACAGGTTACAGCAGGGAAAACCCTAGTAGAGTTTAAATTAGTGGAAGCTAGAAGTGTGCTCCAAACATATTTTAGGTTTGATACTTACAAGGATGTTAGGTCAGATACTGGAATGGGCAATGAATAGCTTTCAAAGGTACTAAAAATGGCACAAGATAATTTAGCTCTGATCTGCAACATTTTAACTCTACATTATCTTCAAGTTCAGTTATTTGGTGTGTAGAATCTCTAACATAGGTGCAGCTAGCCTTCCTTCCTTCCTTCTTTTCCTTCCTGAAACTTGAGTTCACAATATGTTTGCTGTAAATTGTATTTTTTTAGTTTCTTTTACCAAAAAGTCCATTGTAAAGAAGTGTGTCAGGTAGAAGTACTTAAGCTCAGTGCCTGTTGTAGCCCCACTCTGGCACTTAACTCCAGTCCCTTTCTATCCCTGCTGCAGAGAGGGAGAAAGCAGTTACTGTAATGCTTTTCTACTGTAGTGCATACAGTTCTTATTTAACAGCATTATAGTTTCCAGTTGTCCTCTGCTGGTAGTTCTCCATGTTAGAGAATGGTAAGGACATGTCTTTGCATGTCTCTGTACTTAAGCTTGAGGACAGAAGCTAGGCTTACTGCCTCTTGATGTGTTTCACAACAGTGACATCATTTCTGTAAATGCACACCATATTCCCATCATCATACAGGTTATGTGTGAATATTTGCCTACTTCTTTCTTTTTTCTGCCTCTCCCTTTCAGCTTTTGTGTTTGTTTTGAGACAGGGTTTTCCTGTGTAGCCTTGGCTGTTCTAGAACTTGCTCTGTAGACCAGGCTGGTCTTGAGCTCACGAGATCTATCTGCCTTTGCCTCCCGAGTGCTGGGATTAAAGATATGATCATTCTCCACTTGCTTTTTTGACAATTTTGTACAAGTGTATAATACATTGTGGTCATACTCAACCCTACACGCTCTCTTTGATCCCCACCCCTCAAATTCCCATTCCACTTTCATGTTTTTTTATTTTTATTTATTTTTATTTTTTTTATTTTGCTTTGTGATACACTGGTTTAACTAGGGCCAACTGAGTCTCCACCTTCTTTTTTGAGAAATGGTCTCCGTGAATCTGGAGCTCTCTATTTGGCTAGACTGGCTGGCCAGCATGCTCTGAGGATCCTCTTGTTTCTACCACACAAACCTCCAGCACTGGGAGTATAGCCTAGCTTTTTACATGAGTGTTGGGGGTTGAAACACAGGTCCTCATGCTGTGTGGCAGACCCTACCCACTGAGCCATCTCCCCAGCCCACTCCCTGCCCCCCACCTCTTTGCCAGGTTGGTTTCAGATCCCTGACTTGGGCTGCAGCTCTCCTTTCTTGGTCTCCCAAATGGCACCACTGCACCAGGAGCCTGGTATTTTCCAAGGATCCCTGAACTCTTCTTCTCCCTTCACCTTTATTCTGACTTTTTTTTTCCTGGATCGCTGCAGAAGATCACCATTTTACACCTTGGCCCTCCTCAGCCAGCCACACCACCAGGATGAACTTTTGAGTTGAAGAATCCATCTGTCACTCTACTCAGAGTGCTCCAGTGGCTCCTTGTGGCAGCCAAGCATTCCTCCCTTTCTCTTCTTTTTGTCCTTTTTCCCTTTCATCTTTCTCTGTGGCCCAGGTTAGTTTAGGATCTCTCCTTTCTCCTGCCTCAGCTTCTCAAGTGTTGGGATTACAGGTGTCTACCACTACACACAAATGTGTTTGAAAAGTTGGCTGTGACTTAGCCCCTGGGTTTTAATCTGTGCTGCTCTTTCTCATCCTCTACTGTCAGCCTTCTGGACTTCCTCAACTCCCCCACAGCCTGGCTACTCCTCTACTGTCTACATGTTTAGTGTCCTCCTTTTCCTCCTCAATCTGCTTTCCTATTCTGGTTTTTTTTTGAGATGGGGTCCCAGACTGACCTTGAACTTGCGACCTTCTTGCCTCAGCTTCCTGAGTGTTGGGATTCCAGGAGTACAATGCCCAGCACTTTGCCGTTTCACACGCTACTCATGGGTCACCTTCCTAGGAAGCCAACCTTGACTTCCAGGTTGAATTTTGGACTCCCTGTGTTCTCAGATACTGCAGGAATGCATATCACAGTGCACTGGTGGCTTCTCAGGGACACATCCATGTCTAAACTCACCAAAGTATGCACTCCACAGCTAGGCCATTTGTTGTGGGTCAGCATCCTGTACAGAGTTCTGTCTGTCCCTGTGCTCACCCAGGGCTTTGCAGTAATTTACATGTAACTTGCATCTCCTTCCCAAGTCCCCTTGAGAGGAGCAGGAATCTAGAAGATACCGTATTTGGATCTGAGGGTCCTATGCTAGGTACTGAATGTGGGGCATATATATAAGCCCTAGGCTGTAACAGGGGGTAGGCTACTTTTTATTTAGTTTTAGTTTAGTTTTTGAGAAAGCATTTTTTTTCCATTTGATCTAGCATGAAGTTCAGGGCTTTTACATTTATTTATTATTTATTTATTTATTTTTATTAAAGACCATTTGTTTATCCAGAAGTCACTAATGATTTTTAAACTTTTCTCATAGCATCATGTCACAGGAAGAGTGAGCTCCTGCCCATTTTACCATGGAGGACTCGGGAAAGACTTTTGGATCAGAGGAGGAAGAAACAAACTATTGGAGAGACCTGGCCATGACCTACAAGCAGAGGTCAGTCCTGCAGTGTCCTTCACTGCTTCCTACTGGGAGGATGGTGGCTGCCACTTCTGCAGGCCTCTCATGTGATGCTCTGAAGCCAACAGTACTGACCCAGGAAGAAACTAGGATCACCTTGCTCTACAGAGGCCCCTAAGCCTTAGGGAAGGCAGACAGTCTGCCTAAGGCAACAGCTGTGAGAGGTAGAGTTGGGATGTTAACTACAAACACCTGAGGCACCTAACCATCCTAACATCTCATTGTATATTCTGGATGGGTCTTTATCTATTCCTGGATGTCCGGTCTTTTGTAGGGGAGAAGATTTACCTGGTCTATCAAAATAGACTGTTGCTGGAAAGATGGTTCGAGGTTAAGAGCACTTGTTGCTTTTGCAGAGGATCCAGGGTTAAGTTCCAGCACCCACATGGTTGGTGCCTTACAACCATCCTTAACTCCAGTTCCTGGGGATCTGATACCTTCTTCTGACCTCCTTGGGCACCAGGCATGCAGGCAAAACACTCATACACATAAAATAAAATTGAAAAAAAGGTAGGCTTACTTTAAAATTTGAAACTGGTGTTTCAGTGCACATATCTATTGTGTGTGTGTGTGTGTGTGTGTGTGTGTGTGTGTGTGTGTGCATGCGCGCGCGCGTGTGTGTGTGTTTTGGGTTCAGCACTATGTAGTTCAGGCTAGCCTTGAATTCTTGAGCCTCTGGCCTCAGCTTCCTGAATGCTAAGATTACAGTTGAGTGCTTCAATGCTAGCTCTAACAAACTGTCTTCTTGTCCATAACAGTGGGAATAACGGTGGCTGAATAAAGTCATGATCCACACACATCACTGCGGCACAAATATCCAGCATCATTAATTCTGTGATAAATATATTTGCAAACCTGCTACAGGGCAGAGAGTACACAGGAGGAACTCCGAGAATTCCAGGAAGGAAGCCGGGAATACGAAGCTGAATTGGAGACTCAGCTGCAGCAGATTGAAACCAGGAACCGGGACCTCCTGTCAGAGAATAACCGCCTTCGAATGGAGTTAGAGGCTGTGAAGGTGAGGGGCACGGGAACATGTCTACAGGTAGGGATGGCTTTGTGGCAGGCAGATGTCGTATGGCTGAAGCAGCAGTCATGTAGGGTGAAGTGACCGCACCCAGGCCACTTCAGGTGTCTGTGTCACCGCTCTTTCTGCCCTAGTGGTGGAAATCTGTGGAAAGCAAGTCACACACATGCCCTACAGCCCTTCTTGGTGGTGGTCTGTACTGATTTCACAAGAGACATGGTAAGGAGAGCTCGTCAGAGGCCACAGTGTCATTAGAATTGCAGATTCTTGAGACTGAGTCAGTAGCCCAGGCTCACTGTGACCAGCCCTGAACTTACTATGTAGCTGAGGGTGGACTTGAACTCCTGATCCCCTTGCATTCACCTCCTAAGTGTTAGGATTAAAGGTAAGCACCATCATGCCTGGCTTTAGAATGCCTGGTTCTTGTATATTACAGGGTAAAATGTGGTATCTCTTAGTGACATGTGGCTATTGAAATGAAAGCTAATGAGGAAAAAAATAATTCAACACTAGCCACAGTTCAAGTGCTCTATAGCTACAGTGACTCATGGGTTTCACTTCTGGACACAGATCACAGAATATCTTCTAGAACATTCTGTTGGGCCATGCCAGTCATAAGCAGGTTTATTAACTGGTTCTACTTGGACCCCTTGTCTGTGGCTTTATTTTTTTATGGATTTAGTTACCAGTGATCAAACAAAATCCAAAAATATTAAATGGGAAATCCCAGACAAATTTATACATTTTCAATAACTTATTATGATGTAATGTTAATAATCATTCTGTTTTATAATTGTTAACTTTTTTTTTTTTGAGATAGGGTTTCTCTGTGTAGCCCTGGCTGTCCTGGAAATTGCTCTGTAGACCAGACTGGCCTTGAACTCAGAGATCCACCTGCCTCTGCCTCCCAAGTGCTGAGATTAAAGGGGTGCATCACCACTACCTGGCTATTGTTAATTTCTTACTTTGTAAGCTAAGCTTTATCATAGGCAAACATGGGAATAACAAAGCATGTATAGGGTTTGGTCGTGTCTGAGGTTTTGGGGGATGTAGCAGAATGTCTTGGAATGTGTCCTCTCACATAAAGAGCAGGCACTGTGTTGCTTGAGAATGGACATTGTTGTGAGGGGCTGAGCTTACTTCTGGCTTTCATCTGCCAGAAACAAATAGCACTCCCAACTTCTGAGGTTGGGACAGCCAAAAATACTCTGGGCTGTCGAGATGTTTCAGCTGGTAGAGGTGCCTGCCATCAAGTCTGATGCCCTGAGTTTAATTCCTAAGAGTCACATGGTAGAGGAAGAGAACTGATGACTGCAAGTTGTTTTCTGGCCTCTGTATCCCTGGGAGTGGGTTCTCTCCTTCCATCATGTGGGTCCCAGGGATCTAGCTTAGGTCATCAGGCTTAGCAGCAGTTGCTTATTTCATCAGCTCAGTTTCAAGGTTTAAAAATATGTATTTAAAGGCCGGGCAGTAGTAGCACACACCTTTAATCCCAGCACTCGGGAGACAGAGCCAGGCAGAACTCTGTGAGTTTGAGGCCAGCCTGGTCTACAGAGTGAGATCCAGGATAGGCACCAAAACTACACAGAGAAACCCTGTCTGGAAAACAAACAAACAACCAAACAAAAAAATGTATTTAAGGGGCCTGGAGAGATGGCTCAGAGGTTAAGAGCACTGGCTGCTCTTTCAGAGGTCCTGAGTTCAATTTCCAACAACCACATGGTTCTCACAACCATCTATAATGAGATCTTGTGCCCTCTTCTGTTGTACAGGAATGCATGCAGACAGGACACTGTATACATAATAAATAAATAATATATATATTTAATATCAAAAGCTAAAATTTATGAAGCTTCCTAGAAAAAAATCAGAATTTCTAACTTCCTTTGAGAGATGAAGACCTGGCTTCACAAGGCCTGCATTGTCCACACCAATGAATAGGTGAGCCCAGCCTGTCCTGGTCACTGTATCATGATACCAAAGACTGTCTCTTGCTCCTTGTCCTATGTAGGGTCCAAATTTCTTGTTGACCCTGGAAGTATTTTCATTTGACCCTTGAAACAGGCAATGAAGAATCCTTCTGTTTCTCACATTGAAGAGGCCTAAGGACTGGAAGCTATGAGGAGGAAGGTTTATGGCATGAACAATGGCTGGGGGAATCCTAAGGGGCCTTTCATAGTGCTGCATACATACCCTTCAGTTACTGTATGTGCTTCAAGGCTGACCCTTGAGCTTGCAGAAAACCTCTTCATTACAACCTCTGGCCAGAGGCATGAAGCTCAGCACAGAGGCTGAGGGAAGAAACACTGTGCAGAGAGCCTGCCACCTGTAATTGCCTATCAATCACCTATGGCAGATGGGTCAGCTGTTTGTCAACCTTGACTTCAGCAGCCTGTGAGGCATCAAACAGCATTTACTGAGGTCTCCATCAGCTGACAGCTTTTTACAGTCAGTCCCAGATGAAAGCTCAGTGAGATAGCAATTTTCATGTCCCACATTCAAATATCTGAATCTATGCAGGCAGAGGTTCTGGGTCTCCACATCTTCCTGGGATCGAGGTTAATGATCTAGGATCCAGTTTCTTTTTGCTTAAGTGCAGATACTTGCTCTCTGATGCTTGCCAGGAAACCCCAGCAGCCTTAGGATATTGAAGGCCCCTTCCTGTTGTCATCCTGCAAATCAATTAACAGCGACTTTGGTTATTCTTTTGTGGGGGTTCTTACCCCCCTTCTCAGGCATGGGCAGTATGACATCACCTCCTGGCACATCTGACTGATTCTCATAATAGCTTTGTTTCTTGAATCTAGTCAGGAAGAGGAGCTAGCCTTTTATTTATTTAAACTTTCTTGACGGCCTGCATGGAATGTTTAGTATTCTTGCTTTAACAGTACATGCTCTGATGGCCCTGATCTTGGCTGTTATTTATTGCAGCTCAACGTTGGGCCAGGCAAGTAACTGAATCTTAGTTTATGTATCTCTCTCGGGGGGATCAGATGAGTTCACACATTATAGCCCAAAGGCTGGCACACAGTAGCCCATGAGGTGTCATCTGGACTGTTCCTTGCTCTGGGAAAGCACTGGCCAGTCAACTTGAGCTTCTTTTCCTTACACTGCTGGGGAGTGTCTTGAATCAGAAAGTTAGGATGGTTGTCACACTAAGTATCTGATGTCTCCTTTTGTGAGATAAAAGCAGCTAATGTCATTCTTGCTATTTTGCTAAAGTACAGTGCTCATGAGTGAAGCAGGGTCATATTAAGTTGTAGTTGAGGCCTGGCCGAGTGCATGTGGCTTCCTTTGGCTATGGACACCTTGAATGAAGGTTGTTGGGTACTGAAGGGACAAGGTGAGAGAGGTCAGGATGACAAGTGCTGAGAGGATTAGCAGTCTCATGGTTGGGAAAGTTAGGGCATGCATACTTTGAATGACTGTCACTTACCCCAGCATCTTCTGTTGTCCTGGCTAGTTTTATGTTAACTTGATACAAGCTGGAGTCATCTGAAAGGAGGGAACCTTAAATGAGAAAATGTTGCTATAAGACCTGACTGTAGGGGTTGGGGATTTAGCTCAGTGGTAGAGTGCTTGCTATGCCCTGGGTTTGGTCCTCAGCTCTGAAAGAAAAAAAAAAAAAAAAGATCTGACTGTTGCATTTTTTAAGTTAGTGATTGATGGAAGAGGGCCCAGCCCATTGTTGGTGGTGCCATCCCTGGGCTGGTTTTAGGTTCTATAAAAATGCAGACTGTGCAAGCCATGGGGAGCAAGCCAGTAAGCAGCACTCCTCCATGGCCTCTGCATCAGCTTCTGCCTTCAGGATCCTGCCGCATTTTAATTCCTGTCCTGATCTCTTTTGATATGGAAATGTAAGCCAAATAAACTCTTTCCTCCCCAAATTGCTTTAGTCATTGTGTTTCATCAGAGCAATAGTAACCTTAACTAGGACAACTGCTTCTTACCTGAAATTTCATGTCTGTGGAAAGAAGGTTCTGTTGACTGAGCTTAGGGGAGGCTAGGAGAGGAAGCCTGGAGCTGCCTTGCAGGATGGGTGTGAAGGGATAATGCAGGGACCTGAAAATGAAGGGAGAGACATTCCTTAGGATGTTGAAGTCATGCTGAGGATGTGCCTCAGCTGGAGACTGAGAATACTTACCTAGCACACATGAAGCCTTGGGTTTGATCCCCACCACTGCATAACTGGGTGTGGAAGCTCATGCCTATAGTCCTAGCACTTGGGAGGTGGAGGCAGGAAGATTAGTTCAAGATCATCCTTTCCTTCTTGGGTACATAGCTGGTTTGAGGCCAGTCTAGCATACATGAGACACTCTCTCAAGAAAAGATGAGCTGCTGTTGCTGGGGTGGGAAGAACGTAAATTCGGTGCCTGAAGCCATCAGATGTCTTCTACAGGTAGATGGCACTATCCATGTGTGGTGCCCCATATATGATGTGGTAGTGGGGTGATGATAGGCAAAGGATGTGAACATGGATTGTCAAAGTCTTCACTGAGCTGGCTTCCATTCTGTCCTGCAGGAGAAGTTTAAAATGCAGCATTCAGAAGGCTACCGTCAGATCTCGGCCTTGGAGGATGACCTGGCTCAGACAAAAGCCATTAAAGATCAACTGCAGAAATACATCCGGGAACTGGAACAAGCCAATGATGACCTGGAGAGAGCCAAACGGTAGGTGGGGTGAGGAAAGGTTTATGAGGCGGCAAATACAGAGCAAACTCAGAAATGGATCGTGAAGAACTTGGTACTGAGCAAAACGAAACCCGAATGGATCATGGGCAAGATGGAACATGTTTACTGTTTCTGGTGTTCTTCCCACCTTCCTGAAGATATGAGTTTCTATCTGGTTTCTTCTTCCTCCAGTTTGAAAGACTACCCTCAGGATTTCTTATAGGTAGGACTACTTATGACAGACTTTTGCTTATCTGAAAATGTCTTTAGTTTGCCTCCGTTCACGAATGTATGTGTGAATACCCATGGGCACCTGTGAGCATTCTTGTGTGTCAGAGGACAACCTTGAGTATTCAAGGTTCTTTGCTGTTTTTGGTATTTTATTTTTTTAGGTGGTCCTGCCACCCAGCTCCCAAATAAATCGTACATGGAGGCTTATTCTTAATTATAAATGCCCAGCCTTAGCTTGGCTTAGTTTCTAGCCAGCTTTCTTTATCTTAAATTATCCCCATCTACCTTTTGCCTCTGGGCTTTTCCTATTTTCTTGCATAAATCTTACTCTTACTCTGTGGCTTGGTGGTTGTGTAGCTAGGTGGCTGGACTCTGATGTCCTCCTTCTTCTTTGGCTCCTCCTCCATCTCTCCTTCCTCCCAGTTTTCTCCCGCTATATATTCTTTCTGCCTGCCAGTCCCGCCTATCCTTTCTTCTGCTTTGGTATTGGCCAGTTCTTTATTAGACCATCAGGTGTTTTACACAGGCACAGCAACACAGGTTCACAGAGTTAAACAAATGCAACATAAACAAAAGTAACACACTTTAAAATAATATTCTACTACATTTCCCCCTTTCTGTCTAAATAAAAATGAAAGGGTTTTAACTTAAACATAGTAAGACTGCATACAATAACAGTTATCAGGTAAGGATTATATTCACAATATCCTCTCCATTTGTAGTTAGCATATTTGAGAAAACAATTCATTATCTATCCTATCTTTGGGAATCTAAAATTTTACACCTAATTTACTTTCTATCGTAACTAAGGAAAACTGCAACTTTAACTATTTAGTCTTCAACTCTATCAAAGACCCAGAAGGATGTAATATTATCTAACAACAGAGACATTTGGCTGCCTGGACAGTCACCCAAAGTTCCTCTACAACATTGGGGCATCTGTCTTCAGCCCGCAGGCCTAGAGTATCCGGCAGACTCTTCTGTAAAGCAGGAATTTTGAAAGACTGTCCTGCCTTGTTTTGGCAAAGTTCGTCAGTCACGCCGGGCAGTGGTGGTGCACGCCTTTAATCCCAGCACTCAGAAAGCAGAGGCAGGCGGATCTCTGTGAGTTCGAGGCCAGCCTGGTCTACAAAGTGAGTTCCAGGAAAGGTGCAAAACTACACAGAGAAACCCTGTGTTGAAAAACTGAAAAAAAAAAAAAAAAAAAAAAAAAAAAAGTTCGTCAGTTGCTTTTCTCTGTGTCCTGCAGAATGTCTGGCAGACTCTTCCTTGAAGCAGGAGCCCTGAAGGACCATCCCACCTGTTTTGGCAAACTTTGGCAAGTCTTTTTCCTGTGTGTCCTCCATGTCCAGTCTGCACAGCACATTTTCAGCAGTCAAAAGCAGGAGCAATTTCTTTGCTCAGTGGCTAACCTTGCCACAATGAAAGTAAACTCCATAAGGAGTTTCTTCAATGCCCATCATCTTCTCTGAAGTAAATTGGTGCTGCCAGGAACAGATGTGTGTCATTGTCATGAAAAGCCCTAAGTTCACAAAACATTTTAAATGCCATGTTCTATAGTCTTTGAAAGGTTTGAAGACCATCTATCTATCTAAAATATATCTCTATATTATCTGGAAAGCATGCCTAACATATCTACAGTTTTGATTGTTATAAATGACTAGCCACTAGACTATGTTTCCTGATTATTCTATTTAGTTTATAATAGCTTTTAAAAACTAGAACTTCAGCCGGGCGGTGGTGGCGCACGCCTTTAATCCCAGCACTCGGGAGGCAGAGCCAGGCGGATCTCTGTGAGTTCGAGGCCAGCCTGGTCTCCAAAGCGAGTACCAGGAAAGGCGCAAAGCTACACAGAGAAACCCTGTCTCGAAAAACCAAAAAAAAAAAAACAAAAAAAAAAAAAAACAAAAAAACTAGAACTTCACCCTACATTTCCAAATGAACTGCATAGGCACAATACCTCAAACAAAAATAGAAACATACATACAATATGTTGTAAAACAAAAATAACCTTAAATTTTTTTTCAATATACAAAAATTCTTTAAACAAGAGTAGGAACATATGTACAGTGTAACAAAAATAACTTTAAATTTGTATTAATATATTATATTCCTCTAAATGATAACAAAAATCCATAACCCACCAAATAACAAAAAACCACCCACTCCCCCCAACTCTTGGGAATGTGGGTATAGTTTTCTCCATACTTCTTCCTGCTATCTATGGATGAAGTATCTTTAGGGTTCCAGAGAGAAAATTAGAGATAATGACCATGTCCTGGGAAGACCATCAGTAACCTTTGCTGATGGATGTCACCTGTCAAGTTCAGGAGATCTTGCTTGATCAAACCTGTTCCATATTAACTCTTAAGAAATCCATAGCCTCTCATCTCCTATGGAAACAAAACTCCAAAGCATTTTTGATTTCCATTTGATAAATATATTTTTGACTTCTTTTTTAAAGTTAAGGCATTTTTAAAATATCTAGGTTCAATTTATCAGTCCAGTTCACAATCCCATGTGTCCAAAGGATAGAAGCAGCTATCCTTTACTTCTCAATAGTCAAAAAATTCAAAATCAACACATACAGGATCCAGACTACATGTGTATTCTCTTTTATATTACTTTACTTCTCTCTTTGAAGACTCTTATTTTATAAACCATTTTTTTTCTATGACTATACCCTTTTTCTTTTCTTAAGCCTATGCCCATTGTTAAACACACTCTAACCTTTTAGAGATTTTTCCATCTGGATCTCTTTTAGTGCGTATCTCTTGGATCTCTTTTAGTGTCTATCTCTAGTCTCTTTTGACCACATTAGCAAACTTTTAAGCTGCTAACATACACCTGGATCCTCCATGAGTGGCTCTCAGTTTGCTCTGCCCACTTCTCGGAGCGGGGTGGAGGGTGGGGAGAGAAAGCCAAGCATGAAACTCGAGGCCTTTGGGAGGTGTGTCTGACCAGGAACTGCATTCCACCTTCCTAGAGCTCTAGAATGCTGATGCTTGCACTGTGGCATGCGTTTTTACTTTGTTTTTTGTTCCTACTTAATATCTTAGCTGTTCAAGGGCTCAGTGACTGGCGGAAACTGTCTGGCCGAAACTCTTAAAGGAGCTGTATCCCCTTTTTTGTTGTTGTTCAGCTTTCTCAGACTCTAGATGGATATACAAGAGCCCCTAGTCGGTATACCAATTTGTTGTTGGGGGCTTTTTCTCTTTTGGGGGGCCCACCACCCAGGTCCCAAATAAATCACACACGGAGGATTATTCTTAATTATAAATGCCCAGCCTTAGCTTGGCTTAGTTTCTTGCCAGCTTTTGTTAACCTAAATTAGCCCATCTACCTTTTGCCTCTGGGCTTTTTCTATTCTCTTTCTTCCGTAAATCTTATTCTTTTTTTTTTTTTTTTTTTTAAAGATTTATTTATTTATTATGTATACAGCATATATGACTGCAGGCCAGAAGAGGGAGCCAAATCTCATTAAAGGTGGTTGTGAGCCACCATGTGGTTGCTGGGAATTGAACTCAGGACCTCTGGAAGAGCAAGCAGTCCTCTTAACCTCTGAGCCATCTCTCCAGCCCTAAATCTTATTCTTACTCTGTGGCTTGGTGGTTGTGTAGCTGGGTGGCTGGACTCTGATGTCCTCCTTCTTCTCTGGCTGCTAGATCCTCCTCTCCTCCCAGATTTCTCCCTCTATATATTCTTTCTGCCTGCCAGCCCCACCTATCCTTTCTCCTGCCTTACCATTGGCCAGTTCTTTATTAGACCATCAGGATTTTACACAGGCACAGTAACAACGGGTTCACAGAGTTAAACAAATGCAACATAAACAAAAGTAACACACCTTAAAATAATATTCTACTACTGTCCTTGTCTTCCATCTTAGACTTAGAGTCTTTCTTTTTGTTTTACCCCTGTATATGTCAGCCTAACTGGTGTGAGCTTTCAGAGATGTTTCTGCCTTCTGTTTCAACCCACTATCTCTCTGTAGGAGAGCTGAGACTGCAGACTCTCTCACTACCAGGTCTGGCTTTTACATAGGTTCTGGAGATTAGAACTCAGGTCTTCACACTGTGAGACACTCTTGTCCAAGTGTTGACAAGTTTCTGCTGTGCCTGAAGATAACGGCTTCTCATCTATATATATTTTTTGTGACAGGGTTTCTCTGTGTAACAGCTCTGGCTGTCCTGGAACTCACTCTTTAGAACAGGCTGGGTTTGAACTCACAGAGATCTACTTGCGTCTGCCTCCAACTGCTGGGATTAAAGGAGTGTATCACCACCACCCTGCTGCTTTTCACTTTTATTATGTTTACTTATTTCTCCTTATGGTTAGAATATGATGCCAGTCCAGTTCGGTTTTCTTCAGATGGATACACACTATTTATTTGCCTTTCATCGTTTCCTCTAGGGTATTGAACTCAGCTCCACTGCATGTTAATTTTTTATTTATCCTGGTATCTATTTCTGGATTTATTTTTTTTTATTTTTTGGTTTTTTCGAGACAGGGTTTCTCTGTGTAGCTTTGCGCCTTTTCCTGGAACTCACTTGGTAGCCCAGGCTGGCCTCGAACTCACAGAGATCCGCCTGGCTCTGCCTCCCGAGTGCTGGGATTAAAGGCGTGCGCCACCACCGCCCGGCTATTTCTGGATTTATATTTGGTTCAGTCTATAGTTATGGTATGTGTCCTGGATAGTTCTATGTCAACTTGACATAAACTAAAGTCATTTTAGAAGAGGACCTCAGTTAAGAAAATGTCTCCATAAGGAC